GAGACCTGATTAGCCAGGATCAGATGGAAGGGGAAGTGGACCTCCCCTATTGATGGACTTAGAGGGGCATGGGAAAAGATGAAGGAGAGAGGGAGAGTGGGATTGGGAGGGAATGAGCAAGGGGCTACAGCTGGGATACAAAGCAAATAAAATATAATTAATGTAAAAAAATAAAAATTTAATTAAAAAAAATTACAAAAGCCACTTTTTAAGAAAATGTTTATTGGGGCTTTCAGAGGACTAGAATCCGTGATAGCAGAGTGAAGGCAGAAGGTGGCAGATCTTGTTTTAGCTGGAGCAGAAGCTCAGGGCTCACATCTCAAAATCTGTGTATCTATTTAGATATGTATGTATGTATGTATGTATGTATGTATGTATGTATGTATGCGTACCTTGTGTGTGCTATAACTGGAATTATAGATGACTGAGAATCGTCAACAATTCATTGGAATCAAACATGAGTGTTTTATAAGAGTTGAAATGCTCATAACTGCTGATCTGACTCTATTCACAAACCTTTCTGTTTTAATATGTATTTCCTTTAGCTGCTCAAATTTTTTTTCCTCTTGACATTTCCAGTTCCTCTCCAATCCAGATTTCCCTCTCCTCTCCATCCTCTCTTTTCTTTCCTTTCTCTCAACTACTCTTCTACTTTCCCCTTCTTTTTTCCCTTCTTCTTTCTGCTTCTCCTGTTTCTTTCTGCTGTTGTCAATTAAGATATTTATTGTTTCCTCAGGATTGTAATCAAAGTTTTTCTAGTATATTTCTATTAAACTCACTTTACTTAAATGTTTTTTATTTTTAATGGAAGCCTGTCATGGGTGCATCTCAATACTTTCAGACTGAGATCTCTAAGTTGGTCCTTGAGCTTCAATGTTGACTTTTCCCCCCAGTGATTGGTTACTCACTTTGATGACATTTTTGGCTGAAGATATTAGAATATCACCAATATAGTGCGTTTGTAGAAAAAAACAGCTGCTTACTATAGGAAACCAATTGTATGCAGGCAATGCCATTAGAAAAGGCATTTTGGGTGCCAACATTTGTATCAGGAACTCCTTCTGTGTATACTCATTGTGTATTTCTGGTTGCAGGTGCTGAGGGAAACATTGTGATGACCCAGTCTCCTGAATTCATGTCCACATCTGTTGGAGAGAGAATCACCCTAAGCTGCAAGTCTAGTCAGAGTGTGGGTGGTTGGGTAGCTTGGTACCAGCAGAAACCAGGGCAGCCTCCTAAACTGCTGATCTATAGGGCACCACACACAGCCCTGGGCCTGCACACTTCCCCCTTCTGCCTGAGATCTGCTATGCATGACTAATTGATGCACCCGGGCCCTGAGGGGGAAGCAACATTACCAGGCCACAGAAGAAGACACTGCAGCCACTCCTGATGAGACCTAATTGACTAGGATCAGAAGGAAGGAAAAGAAGTCCTTCCCTATCAGTGGACTTGGGGAGGGTCATGCATGCAGAGGGTGGAGGAAGGGAGGGATTGGGACAGGAGGAGAGAGGGAACCACGGTGGGGATACAAAGTGAATAAAGTGTAATTAATAAAGAAAAAAATAAAAAATAAATAAAATAAAAAAGAGATGAAATGCTCATAACTACTGTTTTGACTCTATTCCCAAACCTTTCTGTTTTAATATGTATTTCCTTTATCTGCTCAACCTTACTTTCCTCTCCACATTTCCTATTCCTCTCTAATATAGATTTCCCTTTCCTTCTCTCAATTCTTTCCTTTCTCTCACCTAACCATTCTACTTTCCCCTTCTTTTTTCCCTTCTTCTTTCTGCTTCACCTGTTTCTGTTGTTGTTGATCAGGATATTTATTGTTTCCTCAGAATTTTAATAAAAGATTTTCGGTATTATTTCTATTAATCTCACTTGCTTTAAATATTTTTTGATTTTAATGGAAGATTTTCATCTCGATATTTGCAGATTGTGAGCTCTAAGTTGGTCCTTGAGTTTCTATGTTGACTTTTTTTTCCTCAGTGATTAGTTACTCGCTTTGATGATATTTTTGTCTGTAGATTTAGTTTGGATTCTCTAACAACCCAGTACCATGGCGATTTACTTTCTTATTTGATGACTGTTTTGCATAGGTCCCTACAAGACAGCCCAGCTGCCCATAATTTATAAACCAGGCCTTTGCAGTGAGAACTGAAAAGCATCAGACAGCCTGGGCAACCAAGATGGAGTCACACACCCAGGTCTTCATATTCCTGCTCCTCTGGTTGTCTGGTAAGACATTAAAGAGTATTAGAGTATTAGAATATCATCAAAATAATACATTTGTAGAAAAAACAAAAAATCTATTTACTATAGGAAACCAATTGTATGCAGGCAATGCTAATAGAAAATGGATTTTTGATCCTAACATTTTTATCAGGAAATCTTTGTGTGTATATGTGTACACTAATTGTGTATTTATGGTTACAGGTGCTGAAGGGAACATTGTGATGACCCAGTCTCCTGAATTCATGTCCACATCTGTTGGAGAGAGAATCACCCTAAGCTGCAAGTCCAGTCAGAGTGTGGGTGGTTATGTAGCTTGGTACCAGCAGAAACCAGGGCAACCTCTTAAACTGCTAATCTATGATGCGTCCAATCGATACACTGGGGTCCCTGATCGCTTCACAGGCAGTGGATCTGGGACAGATTTCACTCTCAGCATTAGCAGTGTGCAGGCTGAAGACCTGGCAGTTTATTACTGTCAGCAGTATAGTAGCTCTCCTCCCACAGTGCTTCAGCCCCCAACACAAACCTCCTTGAGAGTCTCACCAGCTGCCTGCACCACAAACAGCCCTGGGCCTGCACACTTCCCCCTTCTGCCTGAGATCTGCTATGCATAACTAACTGATGCAACCTTCAGTAGAAAATTAATTAAGAGGTGGCCTTCTTTATTCCATATTTTTGACAACACTGGTGTGCATAGATAAAAAGGAGAAGCTAATTTAAGAGATTTAGAAGTTGTGGTTTTGCACTGAGATGATACCATACAAGCAAGAAGCATCAGTGAAGTTTATGGTGTCATGCTGACTTTAGATATCTCTTTGTTATGCCTTCAGGCTATGATGAATCTGTATAAAATAGGATAGAGTTTAAAATCATTTACAAAGAATACATCATCCTGAGATTATTAGTTTAGATTGAGAATCCTCAAGCCTTGGTAAATTATCTAATTAGAAAATCGTCCATTTCATTAGATTTTCAAATTTTATGGTGTATTGAGTTTTGAAGTGAGACCTAACAAGTTGAATTTTTTCAGTGTCTGTCATTCTGGCCTGCTTTTTTTCTTATTTTGTTGATTTGTATAGTTTCTCTTGCCTTTTAGTTAGTTTGGCTAAGGGTTTGTCTATCTTGTTGATTTCCTCAAAGAACCAACTTTTGGTTTCTTTTGAGTGTCTCAATTTTCTTTTCATATAATAAATAGTTTAATGCTGCAATTATAGAATGCCATATAAATTTGAAAGATCCGTATTGCATTATCAGCATACAGAAAGATGAGAAACTCTGGGCAACTTCTCATGTTGTATGCTTTGGTCTGTATGTCTGTGTCTACTGCAAATATGCATCTGATTTTCATTTATTTATTATAACTGATTAGCTTTGTATCCCAGCTGTTTTCTTCCTCTTCGTCTCCTCCAAATCGCACTCTCCTTTCTTCTCCTCCTCCCATGCCCTTCCCTCAGTCTACTGATAGGGTTGGACCTCCTCCCCTTCCATCTGACCCTAACTAATCAGGTCTCATCAGGACTGGCTGCTTTGTCTTACTCTGTTGTCTGATAAGACTGTTCCCCCATTAGGGGAAGGTGATCAAAGAGCCAGCCACTGTGTTTATGTTAGAGACAGCCCCTGTTCCCCTTACTAGTTAACCCACTTGCAGACTGAGCTGCCAGGGGTTACATCTGTGCAGGGGTTTTAGGTTATCTCTGTGCATGGACCTTGGTTGGAGGATCAGTCTCAGAAAAGTACCCTGTGCCCAGAATTTTGGCTTTGTTTTTCTCTTTGTGGAGTTCCTGTCCCTTTCTGGTCTTACTATCTCCTTTCTTTCATAAGATTCCCTGCACTCCTCTCAAAGTTTGACTATGAATCTCAGGATATGTTTTGATACCCTTCTGGACAGAGCCTTTCAGAAGTCTTCTGTTGTAGGCTCCTTTCCTGTTCCCTGTTTTCTCCCACTTCAGATGACTGTATTGTTTGCCATTCTGAATGAAGATCCATCATCTTACCTTGGGTCCTTCTTCTTGCTTAGCTTCTATAGGTGTACAGATTTTAGTATGTTTATGTTATATTGTAAGTCTAATATACACTTATGAGTGAGTATACATCATACATGTCTTTCTGCTTCTGGGATACCTCACTCAAAATGATCTTTTCCTCAGTTGATGGACATCTGGGTTGTTTCCAGATTCTACCTATTACAAATAAAGCTGCTATGAACATGGTTGAGCAATTGTCCTTGTTGTGTTCTTGAGCGTATTTTGGATATATTCCTAGCAGTGGTAAAACTGGTTCTTGAGGAAGCACTGTTCCTAATTGTCTGACAAAGTGCCAGAATGATTTCCAAAGTAGTTGTATAAGTTTACATTCCCAGGAGCAGTGGTGGAGGATTTCCCTTTCTCCACACCCTCTCCAGCAGGTATTGTCACTTGAGTTTTTGTTCTTAGCCATTCTTTAGTTTATAAGATGAAATCTCAGGGTCAATTTTATTTGCATTTCCCTGATGACCAAGGACACTGAGCATTTCTTTAGGTGTTTCTCTGCCATTTGATATTCTTCTATAGAGAATTCTGTTCTGCTCTGTACCCCATTTTTAAATTTTAAACCCCAAATTTAAATTAAATAAATTACTCAATTTATTGCTTTTTAACTTCTTGAGTTCTTTACATGTCCTGGATATTAGCCCCGTGCCAGATATAGGTTTGTTGAATACCTTTCCCAGCCTGTAGGTTATCCCTTTGTTTTGATGACAGTGTCCTTTGCTTTACAGAAGCTTTTCAGTTTCATGAGGTCCCATTTACATATTGTTGATCTTAGAGCCTGTGCTGTTGGTGTTCTGTTCAAAAAGTTGTCTCTTGCCAATGAGTTCCATGCACTTCCCCACTTCTTTTTTCTAACAGATTTAGTGTGTCTGTTTTTATGTTGAGGTCTTTGATCCGCTTGGACTTTAATTTTGTGCAGGTTGTCTCTATTTGCATTTTTCTACATGTAGACATCCAGTTAGACCAGCATCATTTGTTGAAGATTTTTTTTTTCCATTTTGTGGTTTTTGCATCTTTGTCAAAAATCAGTATCTTTTGGTGTATGGGTTTATTCCTGGATTTTCTTTTTGATTCTATGGATCTATCATTCTGTTACTTTGCCAGTAACATAGAGATTTTTATTATTATTATTGTTCTGCAGAACTGCGAGAGATCAGAGATGGTGATACCTCCTCAGAATCTATTGTTGTACAGGATTTTAAAATCAATTTTGGGTTTTTGTTTTTCCATATGAAGTTGAGATTTTTTTTTCTTTCAACTTCCGTAGGGAATTGTGTTGGTATTTCAATGAGAATTGCAGTGAATGTGTAATTTGCTTTTGGCAGGATGGCCATTTTCATTATGTTAATACTACTAATCCATGAGCATGAGAGATCTTACCATCTTCTGATATCCTCTTCTATTTCTTTCTTCAGAGACTTGAAGTTCTTTTTCAAACATCTTTCACTTGCTTGGTTAGAGTCACACCAACGTACTTTTTGTTATTTGTGGCTATTGAGAAAGGTGTAGTGTCCCTAATTTCTTTTTCAGCCCTTTTGCCTTTTGTATACAGGAGGGCTACTGATTTTTTTTTTTTTTTTAGTTATTTTTTTACGCAGTTTGCTGAAAGTGCTTATCAGCTAAAGGGTTCTATGGTTGAACTTTTTCCATTTATTTATGTATTTATTTGTTTTTTTATTATTCGTTATATTTTATTAACTCTGTATCCCAGAGACTGAGGAATGCTCCCTCATTCCCTCCCAATCCCATTCTCCCTCCCTCATCTCCTCCCTGCCCCTTTCCAAGTCCACTGATTGGGGAGGTGCCACGGACCAGCCCAGTCGGGCTCCCTGCATCCACGGGAAAATCAGAGGTTTGGATATCAGGAAGGCACAGTTTCAGGCGAATGACAGTCAGAGACCACAGTGGAGAGTGATTCTATTGCTGCAATTTTACTGAAGTTAGCTAATAATTTTATAGTAATTACATAGGGAAATACCTTAAAGTTGGCATACTTCCCAGAACACTTAGATTTTTACCAAGAATACAAGGTTTACATTTTAACTCAAAAATGTAGCTAAACATAAAGCAGTGCCCACAAGAAATCTTGGCCTGAGAACTTTTTGATCAAAGCAAACAAAGGAAAAAAACCTCAAACTGCAGTTTCATTATTGCTAACCAATGAAGAGGAAAGTCAGGAGCTAAGCTAGATGCCTGCCAAAATCTTTCTCTTTGTTAACCATCTTCCCATATGTCTTGCTAAAGATTTACGATCCTCCCTAGAAACAAGACACTGAAGGGGGCAAGCTGGAGCCAGCTGTACTTCTCATGCTATTTTTTCCTAAAAAGGAGCCCATTATTTTTTCACTATTCTTATAATGCTTTTAATACTAAATCTAATTCATTACTTCTCTTAAAATTACTTTTCTTCCATTCTATTCTTGTTAAAGCTTTTAGTAATCTATCAAAAATATGTTTCCTTGAATAGTTAATTGTGCTGTTTCAGGAATCATAGAGAAAGATCAAAAAACTCATTAATCCAGCCCCACAACTGCGACTGAAAAAGCATAGAGACCCTAGAATACGTCTTTTTAACTTAGGTGGTTGGGGGGGGGCAGCAATTGACCTCCAGAGAGCTAATTTCCGAAGAAAGCATATCTCCTGCCCTGTAGCACATCTATTGATATGCTACACTGGCAACACTGGAGTGGGTGTAGCAGGCAGGACCTCCTCCTTTTTTATCTGACCCTGTTTTATCAGGTATCTTCAGGACTGGTTACAAAGTTCTCCTCTGTGGCCTAGCAGTACTGCTCCTACCTTGGGGAATGGGGAGGTCAAAGAGCCTTCCATTGAGTTCCTGTCAGAAATAGTCCCTGTTCCCCTTACTATGGAAAAACAATTGGTTATTGAGCTACCACAGGCTACACCAGAGCAGAGGTTCTAGGTTATATGCATACATGGTCCTTGGTGGAATGTCAGTCTCAGAAAAGACCCCTGTGCTCAGATAGATTTGGTCCTTGTGAAACTCCTATCCTTATTGTTGAATTTTTTGCATCAACAATGTACACTATCATATTATATGCAAATAGTAATATTTTGAATTCTTCCTTTCTGATTTTTATCCTCTTGAACTCTTTTATTTGTCTTATTGTTCTCGATAGAACTTCAAGTACTATCTTGAAGAGATGCAGAGAGAGTCAGCAGCCTTGCCTTGTCTGTGATTTCAGTTAGATTGATTTAAGTGTCTCTCCATTTAGTTTGATGTTGGCTATAGGCTTGCTCTATACTGTCTTTATCATATTTATGTATGTGCCTTGTATCCCTGATCTCTCCAAGTTTTAAACATGAATGGGTGTTGCATTTGAGATTTCTCAAATGCTTTTTTGTCATCTAAGAAGTAGATTATCTGGTTTTTCTCTTTCAGTTTGTTTATATGGTGGATTACATTGACTGATTTCTATATACTGAACCACCCTGTATGCCTGGGTTGAAGCCTA